CAATATATTCACACCATCAGAGATTTCAATTTCTATGAGAGTCATATCTCTCACTGTTGTGTGAGTTTTCCAAATGTTTTGCAGCTGTTGCTGTAACATCATCATCTTTGCGTGAACGAACAGGTATTTCACGTAGTTTTAAGAGTTTCGTCATGGTCAGTTGTTTGTGCAACCTGTTGATTATTTTGAAATGTACAATGTTTATAGTTCTCTCTCTCTCAAATAAATGAATAGATGTGATAGTGTCCTTGCATCTTGTTAAAGTCAAATCTGTCACACTATGGTGTAGGAATAATTCACACACCATTCTTATAAAAGTAACACGGCTTATTGTACTTAGCAAATGTATTTCACCAGCAAACTTTGTCGATATTAGGCAAATTTCACCTTCGTCACTTACGTACAATACACCATGACAGTGTTATTATCAACTAGACCTGTACTGACCAGCTAAATTGGTTATCAGCTCCTCATGCCACTTGACATAGGGTCTGTTTATCCCTGGCTGTTGTTTGGTGAAGAGATCCGGGAGGATCAAGTACACACTGGACCTCTACATCCCTTCTTGTCTGTAGTTTGGTCAAGAAATCTGGGAGAGTCAGGGACACACTGGACCTCTACATCCCTCCTTGGTTGTTGTTTGATTGCTTGGTTCTGTTCGGTAAAGCCTGCACATTTCTCTACAATAATTTTCTCCACTAACTTTCCAGTAGTTAGGAAAATTTATTTTTACAACATGCAACTACTCTATAGTTGTCCGCAGGTTCGTTGCACACACGAGTGGCTCTTTTCAGAGTGTCCGTGGGTGTTAAACATTGTTTTTTCTATTTTTACTAGAAAGTACTTTGTTTTTTATTGTTCGTTATGAACATATAGTCTTGTTCTCATAAACATTTCCATAGTTGCCGATAAAATGTACAGTGCTAATTTACTTTTACATAAATATCTCTATAAAATAAAACTAACACTATATCTAGATATTGGTTTGGTCAGTAGTAGGTGGCCGTAGGTTACATAACTAGTTTAATATATTTAGTGGGGAGAAGTACTTAGGTCTATGCTCATCATGTATGATTAAGTTTTCCAGTGTGCTTAATGAATGAAAAATTTATGTTCTATTAATCTATTGATCCATTAAGAGGTCTGTCTGACAACATAGGGATGTTTGCGTAGTTATGTAGAAATATTGTGTTTGTAGTTCTGGAAACTGTACGCTTTTGTGGTTATTGAGTTTTGTATTTTCTGTGGTTTAATTATCTATGTTTTAGCAACATTTAACCATGTAGGGCAGGCATACTCTGCCACTGGACGTATATAGGTTTTATATATTTTCAGTTATTGTGCCCTTACTGTTGCCAGTCAGACTTCGTACATGATTAGCTCTTTGCCATATTTTATTTGTGATTTCATTTGTGTGTTTGGTCTAATTTAGTTTTGAATCATAGATTAGATCCAGGAATTTGGTTGATGTGGCTATATGGAGAAGGGTTCCGTTGAGGTATAATATTAAAACAAGAAACAGACTCTGTGATCACTTTTTGTTAATGACATTAGTGGTATTATCTTTAAATCTAGGTTTTTTTACTCAGAGAACATTTTCGTATTTGTCAAGTATTTGTTAATCGTCTGGTGTAGTACATTTTCACGGTTGTTTTGTTAATAAAAATGCATATATGCGTTTGGATGAATGAAATACGAGTCAACGTACATCACACAATACCCATAACTGTTTTACTCTAGTTCTGCCACTTTCACAATGCACAATCTCGTAAAAACTTACGGGAGCCAAGAAAAGTGCGAACAAATTTGGCGATGTAATAATTTTTCCAGCCCACCAGTGGCACTGCGGTATGTCTCTGGACTTAAAACGCTAGAAACCGGGTTTCGGTACCCGTGGTGGGCAGAGCACAGATAGCCCATTGTGTAGCTTTGTGCTTAATTACAAACAAATAAAAATAAATACTTTTTCCACCACTGTACAAGATAATTAAGAGAGTATAGAGTTTACGTCAAGATAGAGTAGAATGAATCAGTCAATCTGTGAAGTATTTACTGCTATACCACGTGTTAGCTGAAAGACATTTCTGGATTACTTCAGCCATGACACTACTAAATCCAACTGCAGAATTTAGATAGCTACTTCAACATCAGCAAATAGAGAAAGAAACGGACTATAATGGGAAGGTATCATGGGAGTCATACCAGACTCAGTTTGAAATAACTTCCAGAGTGAACAGGAGGAACAGTGAACAAAAAGTCATCCATCTTATTGCCCATCTAAAAGTACTAATTTTGGAAACAATAAGTAGCCTTCCAGCTGAGAGTCATAACACCTATCGAGCATTGGTCACACCAGAAAGATGCACCCAGAGCAAAATTCCAAAATAAGGTAAGGAGATATGAAGAAATCTTAACCAAACTTGTAGAAGATTGGTAAAGGCTTCCCCAATTATCTTACTTGGATACCCCTTGTGGAATAATGGATGCATTGGTACATAACCATAAAAGAACTGAAAGAATTAATCAGATGGTTAGCTAAACAGAACAGAGGAAATAAACCACAAGATGTTAGATGTTTCAAGTGTAACTTGAAGGGATGTATTATCAGGAACCACAGACAAAGGCCTGTATGGAACAGGAGTTCCCAGAGGATACCAGAAAGAAGTAACTTTTATAATCGTGGGAAACCTGGCCATTACAGTCGAGACTGTAAGAAATCAATAGCTGTTCTCAAACCAAGAAGATAGAGCCCGACCAAATCAAAGGAACAACATAGATAAAACAATAATTAGTTGGTTTTATGAGGCAAAGGTCAGCTACAAGTACTTCATCTACCATGAACAAGAAAAGAAGTTCGTATTCGAGGAAAATCCCCCACTAGTCCGCGAACTTATTTATGAAAACCCTTGTAGTATGTTGACTAACAATATTTCCACGGCTACAATTGTTTGTCTTGATTTGTTAATAAAAAATAGGAAACTGTCTCCATAGATGAAGAAAAAAATGGACTGATGTTACTCTTAATATAGAAAGCTTCTCTATATCTCATGCTGTGTTGGTAATTGACAATGAGGAATAGTACATATTGGGAACTGATTTGGTGCATAGACAAGGATGTGAGGTTAGGCTAGCATCAGATAGTTTCTTAGTCCATGATCAGAAAATCCCTCTGCATTACATAACAATTACTACAATGAACGTTGAAATTCCAGTGGAAACAAGGATGATGGTCATTGTACAACCAAGAAATGAGATAGTCATATATAGTCATATAGCAATAATTTTTTATCTAGTGGCTGAGGCGTAGTGGATAGTTTGTCTGTATGTTGTTAAGCAAAAAAGCTATACATTGGACTATCTGTGCCGTGTTCACCATGGCTATCAAAATCCAGGGGTTAGTGGAACCACATACTTTATCATGTCATGAGGGATTGGTGGTTGGAAGAATTATTTTGATAGTGAAGAATAAAAATGTTACATTCCTTTACTCAGGAAATACTTAGATCGGCTTGTGATAAAGTTAAAGGTAGCTATACTTTAGGTGCTGGTAAAACTGGATTACATCGAGATGAAAGGGTGTAGCGAACAGTTCTCGTCGTAGGAGAGGACAAAGTTAAGTAGGTGTTCAGAGGAGAAGTGATCCAAACCAAAGGTCGTACAGTGATAGCCTTTGGAAGTACAACAGTGAAGGACAAACTGGATTACTTCAGCGAAGAACTTGTCAGCAGAAACTCAACCTATGGAGGAGCCTGGATTTCCTGATGAGACTGCTTCCAGAGGATCATTAAGGTTTGTATTTTGTTTTTTTTAATTTCGCACT